ATCTTCATTAATGAAAGTTTGGCCTCTGCATCGCGTGTAAGACAACACTTTTCGGATTACGGTTTGGTGTGCAAGGATCCGGTGCGACTGAGAGATGGAGCAAGAGTTCTTGGCTTGCAGGTCTGGGAAAAAATGGCACCCTCCGATGGAAACGAGGAAGTCAAATTCCGGAAGCCCCTGATGTGTTGACCCGGCGGCGCGTATTTTTCGTTGTGTTGGGAAACTTGTTGGACACTTCCCAGTGTGTGGATGGCTCAGGGTGGCAGTTGCATTCGTCAAGCGCCTGGCAACCGCAGCAACCAATGGATGGGATGATAACATCAAAGATCCCCTCTCTGTCGCATACTAGCAGAGATGTTAAGTAGAGTGCGGGAACTGGATCCCGTCGGAGGAGACTGGTGCATGAGTGGTGACGGATCACAGTCTGGGTGGATGCGAGTTCCGTGGCGACACAGTGGCATTGAAGTAAACGAAAATGTCATCGAAGATGCGTGCTGGCTGCGTCCGACTAATGATGCCAGGCACATTAATTTGGCTGAACTCGATGCGGGTTTTAAAGGGTGAATCTGGCTCTCAGTGGGAGGCGACAACGTTGTACTTGGTCACTGATTCGGCGTGTGTGCACCGGTGGATTTCAGACACCTTGACCGGGAAGGCACGGGTGAACACAAGGGCGGCTGGTGAGATGCTGGTCAGGCGACGGCTGGGCATTTTGCGATCGTTGGTGGACGAATATGGATTGACCGTAGACGTGACACTTGTGCAGTCCTGTCAGAACCGTGCAGATCGCCTCACCAGAGTACCGCACAGGTGGCTAGAACTGCTCAAAAGAACCGGCACTCGAGAGCTGTGCAGTGGCAGGGAGACGACTGGATGAGGACCAGGTTGCCAATACGCATCGTCAATGCGGACATCCGGGCGTGAAACGAACCCTGTACTTCGCCAGGTTAGTCGACCCGCAGGTGTCCAGAGAAAGCGTTAAATCCGTTGTGAAGGCCTGCACAACCTGTCAGTCGATCGATCCGGCACCCGTTCACTGGGAAAGAGGAGAACTGAGCGTGAAGAGCAACTGGAGCAGACTGGCAATGGACATAACTCACTACAATGGTGAGAATTTTTAACACTCATTGATTGCGGTCCCTCCAGGTTTCGCGGTATGGCGCCGCTGCGCAGACAAGACGCGAGCACCGTCATTCGACTGTTGGAGAATGTTTTCTGGGAGCGAGGCCCACCCATGGAAATACTGACGGATAACGATACTGCGTTCACCAGTAAAGATTTTAAAGAATTTGCGGACACTTGGGACGTGCATCTGCGGTTTCGATGTGCCTACTCGCCAAGTGGAAACGGCATCGTGGAGCGGAACCACAGAACCATCAAGACCATCGCAGCCAGGAAGGGCTGCACAGTTTCGGAAGCGGTTTACTGGTATAATGTCGCCCCGAAGATAACATTTCACCATCCACGGCGCCGGCTGATGCACTGCACAAATATCATGTCCGCGTGAGGGGCATCGAAGCCAACCCGCTGCCTGAACTAGAAGTGACTGGAGGGAGATTGAAAAAAAGGAGACATCGTTTGGGTCAAAAACCCACGCGGCAAGTGTACGACAAAGTACGGCACTGGACGTGTTACGGAGGTTATCAGCCCGCAATCTGTGAGAGTTGATGGGGTGCCTCGTCACATTAAAAGACTTGCGACGGTGACGCAATCACTACCGCTACCGAGCGATGAAAGCGATTCCGAGTCTGGGGGTAGTGAGCGTTCAATCTGCCTTTTTGAGTTAGACCTGCAGGGCAGCGATTCTGATAACAGCAGCCTCCCGGCGGACACAGTGTTTACCGACACTCAAACCACAGACGAACACGCACGAGGATGAAGCTTGTGTTATCCCCTTCGGAGAGGGACTCGACGGCGACGATCGCCACCTCCCTGCCCTGTTTGTGATCATGAGATCAGGGGGTGTGGGGAAAATTGTGAAAATGGCCTACCTCGGAAACGCGTTCGAATCTATAAACACTGGTCCTTCCAACTGTAAAAAGAAAACCAAAATGGCGGCGCCCGCATTTTATGCCGAGTAGTCTCGGTCAGTTAACGTGAAATCTCGTTGCCTTTGTGATTCGCATGCAAATCGTGGTCGGTCCGCAGCTGTATATAAAGCAGGCTCGTTTCTGCTGTTAAAAAAAAGGCTTTCGGCTCGTGAGAAGGTTGGACGTGCGACCCCGGTTTTCTTTGTGCCTACCTGCTATCACCAGTTGAATTGTTGAGTTACACACTTCACATGTGTGAACACAGATAAATACACACCCAGAGATACCCAACAACTGGACTACATATCCTTGACCACATCGGATATTTGCTATATTAAAGGTTCAGACAATATCGTGGCAGATACACTCTCGCTCCACGATACAATCTATCGATTCTGAAACCCCTTGCCTTCGACCTCATTGCAGATGAACAAAAGGAAGATACCACATTATACAAAATAAAAGAGGACACTTCTTTACAATTGAAGGAACACTCCGTCCCATTTGGAACAAAAACACTACTCTGTGACGTTGGGACTGGTTATTCAAGACCATATATTCCACCTTCATTGAGAAAAAAAGATATTTCTGCATTTTCACAATCTCTCACATCCCGGACACCGAGCAACCGACAAGTTGATTAGCAGTCGTTTTGTCTGGCCAAATATGCATTCTGACATAAAAAGCTGGACTCAAACTTGTTTAAAGTGCCCAAAAAAGCAAAGTAAACAGACATACTCAGCCCCCTCCTGGGCATTTTCTAAAACCAGATGGTAGATTCACGAATCTTCACATTGACATAGTGGGTCCCTTACCAGAAGCAAACGGGCATAGTTACCTACTCACTATTATCGACCGATTCACAAGATGGCCTGTCGTTGTTCCTCTAAGGGATATATCTGCTGAAACAATCTCTAAAAGTATATTACATGAGTGAATTGCCGTTTTTGGTTGTCCCTCAGTAATAACTACAGACCGAGGTTCTCAGTTCCAATCTACGCTCTTTGATGAGTTCACAAAACTATTGGGAGTTAAGCATATAACAACAACGGCTTATCACCCATGTGCCAATGGCTTAATTGGACGTTTCCACAGGCAACTTAAGACAGCATTAACAGCAAATAATGATTCCAAGACTTGGTTAGTGGGAAATTGGAAATACACCTATACATGTCGAAACGCCACCATCTATTGACAATATGCAGGCATTTTGGGAGAATATTTGGAGCAGCCCAAATGCAGAATGAATCCAACGTGAAGAAAAAGAAATGCTGGATACACCTATGCAACAGTGGGAAAATATAACCACAGATAATATTAGGCAAGCTCTAACGAAATCCCAAAAATGGAAATCCCCAGGAAATGACAAAGTGCCCAATTTCTGGCTCTATCATCTCTCATCAATCCATAAAACCCTTGCAAAATCTCTATTAACGCTTGTAAATAATTCAGATGAAATCCCCGATTGGATCACTGAAAGCATTACATATCTCATGCCAAAAACGAGTGAAAGAGATGATCTGAAAAATTATAGGCCAATAACATGTCTGTGCACCACGTATAAATTGATCAGATCTATCCTGTGGAACCGAACTTACTCTTTCTTCGAAGCAAACAACATTCTTCCACTAGAACAGAAGGGATGCGGGAGAGGTTCATATAGCTGCAAAGATCAACTACTGATAAACAAAATGGTCATGTTAAATTGCATTGTAGAAGTCTTAGCGCAGCGTCGATTGATTATCATAAAAGCCTTTGATAGTGTGCCACACTCTTGGATCCTCAAGACTTTGGAAATGTACAAAGTCTCCCCCCTGTGGTAGTAAATTTCCTTAAATACAGCATGGGAATTTTGAACACCTTACTATACCTAAATCACAGGTGGATGCAGAAATACAAGTAAAGCACAATACACCGATTGAAGCTGCAAAATACATAAAAAAGAAAGCAAAGACAAATGCAACCGACCAGATACAGAAACAATGACAAGATAAACCGTTTCATGGCCAATACTCTACCTGTACCAAACAAGCTGATGTAGACAAGTCTCGTGCCCATCAGTGGCTACGTAGAGCAGGGTTAAAAACTGAAACGGAAGGTTTTATCATTGCTGCACATGATCAGTGTTTGTTAACTAGAAATTATCAAGCACACATAATAAAATAGTGTTAGCCCAAAATGCAGGTTATGTGATAATTACCTATAAACAATCGATCATCTTGTATCAGGATACACGGCATTGGCAACCCAGTGAGTATAAAACCCGGCATGACAGAGTTGGCTAATATCTGCACTGGAAAATCTGTAACTTCTACGGGAGGGAAATTGAAAAAAAGTTGTATGAACACCACCCAGACCCAGTTACGGAGATAGGACCTATTGCAATTTTATGGGACTACACAATACACACAGAGAGAACAATCAAAGCTAACCGCCCAGACATTGTTATTAGAGACCGCAAACAAAAAAAGTGCCTCCTTATTGATATGAAAGTACCTGCAGACTGCAATGTATCTTTCAAGATCTTCAAAAAGCTATCAAAATACAAGGACATTGAAATTGAAATCTCAGAAATGTGGCACATGGGAACATCAACAATCCCCGTTGTAGTTGGAGCCCTCGGATTGGTTGGAAAAGATTCCAGTAGAATAATTGAAGGGATTCCTGGAAGCCCATGCCTGAAGGAAATACAAAAAAAATTGTTCTCACGAGTACAGCCCACACCTTACGAAGGGCTTTGTCTATGTATTTTTTTTTTCCAGTGGGATGATGCTATTTCTAACCTTAGATCATTGGGCGGCACCCGGAAAGAAATGAGTACACATCAGAAATCAAAGGAAAAAACAAAACAAAAACAAAAAACAAAACAAAAAAAACTAAAAACAACAACAACAACAACAATAATAATAATAATGATAATAATAATAATAATAATTCGTCCTTGTTTTGCTATTTATTTTTTTTACTAACCTTGTTTTCTGAGATCCAAATGGAGCTCCCTTGAAACTTTTGCTGGGCATTTTCGTTGTCAATAAATTTGATCCCTCCTTTTTCTTTTCTTTCTTTTTTTAAGTCTTTAATCCTGACCCTCGAATAATTACAAGCACATACATACACGTTCATACGTACAGTTACATTTTTACGCACTAGTCCCTTTCCTTTTAAAATCGTCTAGTCTTACAAGTCAGAATTTGGATGTAGGGGGAAAAAAGGAAATGGTTACACTTGGGTAATAATAAGTCAGTCAGTCAAAAAATACGAAATCTTTCCACTGGTACTGGTTTGCGTGTACTGTGTGTGTATAACAGATGAAAAAAAAAATAGTTAACAAATCCGAAGAAGTAAATAAAAAAGGCAAATAAAGTAAATAAAAAAGACAGTAAAGAAGAGAGACTTATTTTTCTTGAGACTTATCAGTGGCCAGTTGCCTAGCAACATTGTAACAATGACGACGAAAAACATTTCACTTTAAAAATACAATACACCCTTTTATTTAAAAAACAAGAACAACAAAAAACAAACTGTTTTTAAAATCCGATTCTCCCGATAAATAATTATGTCAAACTGAACTAAGTTTAAATAAATAAAAAAAATTAATTAACGTCATCATTTATGTGCCTTTAGTTTAATAATTTCATGCGCTAAAAAAATAAAAAAAAAATGATCTCTAGTAGTTTCAATACACCACAGCAGGATTTTTGTTTCTTTGAAGTGGATAGCTACAAAAAGAAAAATAAGCATGCACAGCGAAAAAAAAAGTCCCAACAAGCCAAATACATAATAAAAAATAAATAAATAAATAAAATAAAGTTTATCGTCAAAATCATTAAGGAAAGATTAAAATATTTTTTTTATTATTTATGAAATAATATTTTTTGATCCTTTTTTAGAAACTTCAATTTTTTTTTTTCTTGCGTCAAAAGTTGATCATAAATAATTTATGGTCACCTTTTGACGTTTTAAAATTTCCTAATTTAATTTATCGTAAATTAAATTAGGAAATTTTATAGCGTTTTTTTTCGGTGAAAGACACATTGTTTTGAAAATTCTTGACAAAAACGTCAAATAATTATTGTCGGAGTTTATTGAAACATTCGGGACTTATTTACAAATGAAGTTTGAAGTAGTAGTAATTTTAGAAATGTTGGTAAATAATTTTTTTTTTTTTTTTTTTTTTTGTTTTTTTTACATCTGTTACCACACTCCCACATTCATTATTTAATGAGATTTTGAGAAATTCATTTGTGTAGACCATAAAAGGATTTCAAACAATATTGGTAATAAATATAAAGCCAAAGTAAAATTCAATAAAATATTAGATTACTTAGAATATTTTCTTAAATTTTAAGATTACTGGGAAGTTAAAAAGTTGTATAAAAATATAATTTTCTACACACACACACACACACACACACACACACACACACACACACACACACACACACACACACACACAGCCTTGCATGGGCTGAAAAGATTAATATATATATATATATTAATCATTAATGGGTTATGAAATGATTAATATATGCAAATCATTTCACCCCATGTAAGGCGATAATGTCATTAAGTCGCAAGGGAATACTCGAAGTGAAAGGGAATGAAAAGATTTTAATAAGGAGAAAGGAAAATAAAGGAACAGAATTCAGTTACATAGAAGATGGCAACTGACGCTGCATTTACAATATAGAAGATTTTATGTGGCAGGGAATCAAGGAACTGGAAGAGAGTTTCACAGGCGAGAATTGTGAGAAAAGAAACTCTTTGAATAGAACTTACAGTTACATCTAGCTAATTCAGCAGTAAGATATAACCGAGTTATCAATCTAGGAGTACGCTTAAATTCATGCGGTAAACATACCAAGGAGAAAGGTTCGTCCGAATAATTACCATGGAAATATTTATACAAAAAAAGGTAAGTCACATCACAGCGGTTGGAAAGTGACTGAAGTCGAAATGCCAAGTTAGGACCGATTACATTACAGAATCTTCTTTGGATTTTGTCGAAAATATCAAGATATATAGCCAAAGCACTAGATCAAATATAACAGCAATATTCAATGCTCAGATGAATTTATGAATTTATAAATGTGTAAAATAGATTCTGGCGAGAAAATTTGTCTAGCACGATACAGTGAATGAACCAAACTTCCTAGAAGCAGACTTAGCAATTGATTCAATATAATCACTCAACTTCATGTCACGGGAAAACGTGAAACCAAAGTGCAATGAGTTGCTCTCCTGGAGGTTAGCATCAGCCATGCTGATATAACACAGGAAAGGTTCTCTGTGATAATTAAAAGATAGCAATTTCATTTTGGAGGCGTTAAAATTTTCAAGCCAATCCTTGCCTCAGTTAACAACTGATTGGAGGTAATTTTCGAAAACAGCTGCCAGTTTTACCCCGTCGGGCCTATCGAACGTACGATTAAGACAGGAATAAATAGTTTTATCATCAACATAAATACCTAGTTAAGAACTGATAACATCAAGAAAGTCGCTGATGAAGATAAGAAACAACATAAGTGCAAGGATATAGACCTTGGAAACCCAAGCATTAATGTGAAATAATCTAGAAGCGTTCACCAGAACCTTCATTACCCGATTTGTTTAAAAGGATTGCATTAAGTCAAATATCCATACAGAAACATTATAGCTCTTGAGCTTGTGAAGAAGGCCAGCAGGCTAACATCTGTCAAACGCTTTTGATATAACTAAAGCCACAGCCCGAGCCTCGCCGTTCTTATCTAAAGCCTGATTTCCAAATTTAGTAATAACCGTTAACACATCGACTGTGGACCTACACAAACGAAAACCATATTGTTTATTCGAAAGAGGGCGCATGAAGTGAGATGCTTAACTAATTCAGAATTGATTAGAGATCCTGGTACTTTTTTTTTTTTTTTTTTTTACTAATGTTCACCCATTACTAGGCCCAAATGCCACTCAACGTAGAGGGTTACTGTGTGAAGTTGCATTAGCGTAAGAAATGGTAAGATAACACGAAAGATAACTAATTCTTAACTTGAAGAAGTCAAAATTTAATTAGCGAATAAAATTTCAGAATTCAGAACAACGAAAATTGCAATAAGAGCACTGGTAAAAATGGTTGCTGAAGACATTAGATTTATAATACCCAGAAATTCATACACAAGGACACAGTGGAGACTTCTGGGGTTATTTGGCTCTCGTTCGATGGCATTCCTTCGGAGGATTGAATCTTGATTAAGGAACGAGCCTCGCGAAACGGAATAGATCTTGCGGCATGTCTCAATGGCGATGGTGTGCGGTAATGCTTTCGCCATCATTTTTTTTTTTATAGATAGTTTGTTCAAATAAATTCATTTTATATTTTCGAAAGTTGCTTAATTTCTTAGTAGCCGACGTTCGAGATCAAGTAAAAGCGTATGAGTGACGCTGTTCTCTTCCCAAATTCGTAATAGTACGCAGTTACCAATGACGTAAGCAGTTTCAAACTTAACGTTTGTAAATAAAAATAAAGTACAGATAACTCTTTAAAATGCCAATTGACAGTGTTTATATTATGAACCGGATAACCCTCTAAAATGATAAAATTTATTTTTCGATTCTGACCAATGTCAAGTGTAGAGGAGGGTCGAATATCTGATGTTTTATTAAGATTTTGGGAAGTGCGTTTAAATGAGAAATTTTCGGGACCTCTCCATAATATATGATATAAATAAAACCATTAAAATTAGGCAGTGTCGGCTCTTAATTAAAATGTAGGACTTTGAAAAGCAAATCACTGAATAAGATAATGTGGTACTTTCATCAAAAATTTGTCACCTGATTCAGCGGGACCGGAAGGTTTCAAAATTAATATTCACTCGGGCCCTACTTGTGAGCATCTCCCAAGGCAGTACCTCTACTTTGGAGTCATTACCCGGTACCCGAGGCGTCTCCAGAAAAGGAAGTTCCGAGGAGTCCTGGGCAATTTTTATACTGCTGTTTGAAATCTCACATTAAATAACGTGTGCGCATGGATAAATACCTATTTTCATTATTAATTCACTACTTTTATCTGTTCAGCTTTCTTTTCTTTTTTTTCCGACAGGTCATTTGGGATGTCGGAGACAACGGGAAAAGTTGTCCGTGCGAAGCTAGTTGAAGAGGCGGTTGAATAGAAATTGGGTTCAATTTAAGATCTGAGATTCTGTCGTGTGAGAATACGGTAAATTACGGTAAAATATACGAGCCCAAGTAAATTGATGTGCGCTCAGGGCTACATCATTTTTCCAATTCGTGAACTTATTACGCCGTCTTCCCATAACTCTTTTCCATTTTTATATACTCTGAAAAACATTTTTTTTTTTTTTGTCAATTTTGAAAAATATTTTGTCCTTTTTGTTATCCGTTCTTATTCTTTTTTTGACCGGGTAACAACTTGTTGAACATCGATTTAATTTTTCTTGCGAACATCATTTCTGCCGGTGACATGCCTGCCGGTGTATTGGAATTCGGTGTTATCCAGTATAGTCCCAAGAATTTTGGAAATGTTTTTTCACTCACTTTTTCATTAATTGTTTTTTTTTCAAAGCTCTCTTAAAAGTACCCACAAACCGTTCAACTTGTCCGCTTGAACGTGTGTGATATAAAATTCTTCAAATTCGTAATGAATTGTGTATCGTTATCAGAGACTATGACATCCGGAATGCCATATTATTGCAAACAGTTCGTATAAAAAATTCACTGTAACCGTGGAAATTGTTTTTATGCACCTACATTTTTGCAATAAATATTTATAGGTAAATCATACAACTCAAATAATTCCATCCAGTCAGTCAAGTTTTGTAGCATTTTTAACACATAAGCCGTAGCTTTTACACACTTGTTACGAAATGAAACGTTACAAGTCATTTCACCAATAAAAAAAAAATTCTTACCCGACATGCCACGTGCGATTTTCGAAGTTCTTTTTAATATAGGTTTGTCGTTTGCTTTCCATGTGGATTTGTTGATTATTGTCATATCACTACTAGTGTCTAGTTGCATTTTTACA